GGGGGTATGCTAGAGCTTTACATTCTAGATGTCCTTCGTCGCATTAAGGACAATGCAACCTCTTAAGTTTGGGGGAGTGAACCTTTAGTTCTTACATCTCTATCAGCAATTGTACAGAACTATGAATCTTTCTAATCCTGTAATTCAGCCTTTTAAAAAAAATAATCAATAAAGGAGGGGCTAGCAGCCCACATCCAGAGCATAAAGAGGCTGCAGATTAGGCAGGCCTAGTAGCCAATAGTTAAGAAGCCCAAGTTGGTAGTGCAAAGTTTAAAGGTTTCGGCTAGTGAAAGGGGCTTGAGAAAGGATTCCCTAGGAGAAATTAAGCTTGAGGTTGGGAAGTAGAATGAAGCTAGAGTTGGGCAGAAAATAGCATCTTCCAGAGTGTGAACAAATCTAGGTTGCTTTCATTTCTTTGCTCCAGCTGAAGTACTATAGCAGAGTATGTAAGTTCTAGCGTTACTGATCAAAGTACAGGTTTGAGGCATAGGGCTGAATGTTTGAAGTGTAGGTTTCTAACATTCTTCTTTTGTTTTTTGAGCTAAAATGCATGTTCTTGCTTGGGGACAAGTAAGATTGTAAGTTTTGGGGTGTGATAACTCTCCAAAAGAGAGTTATTCTGGTGATTATTTAGGTGAAAATGTGCATCAAAATGTCAAAATGTGTCGGTTTTAGGTCATAACTAACATGAATAGCGTTTAATTGCAAACTCTTAGCTAAATATCCTTAGTCTTGAGAACTTTAGCCAAAAACAGCATAAACTCTCGTATTTGTGGTTCATTTGCACATGTTTTTAAAGAAGAGCTAAGAAGAGAAGGAAGTGCTGAAGCAGAGAAGAAAAGTCGAAGCATTTTCAAGTCAGAGCATATAAAAGCTGGAGCATAGCGATGCCAGAGCTTGAGTGTCCGTACAGTTAATTCAAAAACACGGGATTCACTTATGTCCATACAATCTCTAGTCGGGTGCCCTAAAAACGGGACCAGATATTTAAAGGGAATGTTACCCTAGTCGACAAACACGCAGATCCCAAGGAAGACAAAAATTGAGAGCTGAAAAGACCAAGGAACGGAATATACCCATTTTTGGGAGGAGAGCTGACACCAGAAAGGGGAAGTTCGCCTACTGGAACGAGCTGACTGCTTCTTCTTCTCTGTCATTTAGCCATTTTTCTGCTATGGGTTGTATTTCTTCTTCTTCCATTTTGTTTTCTTCACCCATTATGAGCTGAACCCCATTTTAGGGGAGGTTCACATGCTGTAACTGATTTAAGATCGAACCTCTAGCTACTATATTTATTTTTAAGCAAATCTGATTTTATTTCTTAAATCTTCGCGTTACTGTTGGCCGCCGTTTCGTGTATGCTAGCTTCTATATTGACCTGGAAAGGCTTGTGGGTGTTGACTTGTTTTGCTTGTGATTAGCGCTTTTCTATAGCTGTAGGGATACTGAGGAATGGGGTCCCTTAATCATGCCTATAGCTTGAGATTATTGCTTGGGTATTTAGCAACGGGAGTTGTATTTACTCATGTTTGGGGTGTCTCGAAAGGGAACCGAGTCGAGCTGGGCACTAATAAATGTTAGCTATGCTAGAGGATAGGTTGATAACGTGTTAAGACATGTTGAATCTCCCCCGCCATCTTCATATCTTTTAATCCCCCGTTATCGCTTTCTGTACTGCTACTTCCTTGTGTCGATAACCTTGAAATTATTGTCTCTTGCAAAGTTCTGTCGTCCTGTTATTACTTTATTTTAATTCTCCTAGATAATATACATACCCAACTCTGCACATTTTTATTTGTTGGTATGTGCTTGTATCGTTAAGATATAAACCAAAAATCCTTGTGGATACGATCTCGTTATGTACTACAACCGGTTATTCATGTATACTTGCACGTGTTGTCGACATAGTTGTGTAGACGCAACAGAAATTTATAAGGCTCATTCTTCTTCATTCTCCAACTTGGTTCCAATGTTGACCCGTTGATCCTCGAATGCCAAGGGGATAGACTCCACCTCCTCAACCGATTCCCCCCCTGTCGAGGGTGGTCGGATTTAGTTGATGACCAAGGCTCGGGCATACTTCCCCCGAGTGGTCGACTGCCTCGTTTGGGCTCTTATCTTCGAAACATTGTTGACTCCCACCAGGGTTCATATCAACTTGCTCCATTCCAACTTCCTCGGATCTGGACTTCATCTCGGCTAAACTTGTTTGAACTGTATGGTTCCCACAGACGACACAAATTGTTGATGCTTGGATTTTGGCCTTCCCGGTTCTCTCCAAAATTCGCACCAAACTCGATGATCAAGTGACCGCATTCCTGCAAAACCGAGCAACCCTAAACCGGTGTGACTTCTGTCACACGGGCTCCGATGCCAAAGTCAGTTATGAGAGAATAACTAAGCAAAGTACTTATAATGTAGTTCAGCTTACCCTCAATGGGTGATTCCTCCCCCTATTTATGGTTGATCTCCTCTTAGTGTTTCACGAATTCCAACCCTAGGTCATCTCAAGATAGTCGGGTTTACTGGTCGTGATACGTGCGGGCTCTTTTATCAGGTTTGGGCCCGAACATCGATTGGTTGGCATAGGAACTGGGAGAGAGGTCGAGAAGTTTCTCGACCTAAAGCCGAGAAGGTCTCGGCGTCGAGGTGGGTCGACTCTCAAGTGGGCCCAGCCCCAGTTGTCGGTGGTCTCGGTTCTTCCAGTTTCTTCTTTTACGATCCAATCTCTATTCTCATTTGAACCGTTTTGCTTCATATAACAGTAGTTAACAAAAAGTTGAGTGTTGACGGGTAAGAGAGGAAAAAATCTCTATATTTTGTCAAATGTACACACATACTTCTGTGCCGTGTGCTATATAATAAGGGCGAAAAAGATGTAAAATATATTTCTCTTATTCATTCCAATTAAAATTAAATAAATGGCTTGTGATATATATATATCTCGCCAAATCATGACTTGCTAATCTAATTACATGTCATATTAATATGTATTTTAGTAATAATATTAAGGATAGAAACTTCAAAGTCCATAATGTCATCTATAATATATCTAAGAATTAATTTATTATGGGTTTTCTTAACAACAAAATATAGTAGATTTAGATAGTTGTCCCGTAAGATTAATCCATATGCACACAATCTGACTCGGACACACTACAAAAATTTATGGTTTTTTTTATGTTATTTTTGTCGATGCTCAAAAAGTTGTCGGGATAAGCTATTTTTCTTGACGAAATCCATAATGTCAGTAAAAATTCACTTCTCCCAACCTTTTATAGAAAACGTCGGGATAAGTAAGCCACTATTGTCGTTTTCAAAAAAAGGTCGGGAAAAATATTTTTCCGACGCGTTTCACAGAACAATGATTTAAAATAATGCTAAAAAAGTTCCCAAAAAACTTTTTCCCAACCGTTTTTTAAAAAAAGGAAAGTAAATTTTCTGCACTTTTTTAGGAAATCGTAAGGAATAATGATTTTTTCAAAAAAAATCCTAACAACTCTTTCTGATGTTTTTTAAAAATGGAAAAATGTTCCTTTTCCTTAACCTTTTTTAAATAACGTAGGCAATAATTATTTTCTAAAAATGCCAAAAAAATTCTCTAACAATTTTTATCGGACAATTCGTCGGGATTAACTTTTAAAAATGCCAAAAAGTTCGTAAAATTTTTTTACTGTTTTTAAAAAACGTCGGGAATAATTATTAAAAAAATATGTCAAAATATGATTATTGTATTTGTTTAATCCCTAATTACCTACTCTTTTTCCCCAACCCTCATTCTTCCATTTCGATTACATTTCTTTCGAACCCTCATCGTTCTGTCCCTCTCTCGTCTGTGCTGCTCGCTATCGCTTTCCGTTGCTCATTGTTGCATGCTCGCCGGTCTCCGTCGCTTGGGAAAAAGTCACTTTTCCAGACTTTTTTGCAACCGTGAAGAAAAATAACTTTCTCCCGACTTTTTGAGAAAGGAAAGTAAATTTTCCTGACCTTTTTAGGAAACGGTAAGGAATAATGATTTTTTATAAAAAAAATCCTAACAACTCTTTCTGATCTTTTTTAAAAAAGGGAAAAGTTCCTCTTTCTTAATCTTTTTTTAAATAACGTAGGCAATAATTATTTTTTAAAAATTCCAAAAAAATTCTCTAACAATTTTTACCCGAGAAAAACCTTATTTTTTATGTCGTGACCCTCACTAATAATAATAATAATAATAATAATAATAATAATAATAATAATAGAAACTTGTTAAAATTAAATCTAAAAGTTTAAGAATGTAAGTGAAATTTTGTTATGTGAAATTTTGTTATGTTTAGAAACACAACTATATACACATGTAGGACATTTATAATTTATCTAAGTAATAATAAAAATAATGTTAATTATGACATTTTCTTTAAAGTTATAAAATAATGTCTATTTAATCCTTCTATTTAAATGTTAATACTGAATTCTAAACAAAGGTGTGACCGGCATGCAAGCGGCTCTGGTCGAGGTGGCTGCACTGGTCGAGGTGGCTCAATAATCTGAGTCGATACAAAAGAGTTTCACTTGTTTGAAGTAGTACCTGTGTGTTAAAACTTAGTACCAGTGTAGTGTTCGACCAAATGCATTTTGAAGTTTAAGTTAGAGATGAGGTAAACAGGGTCCGAAGTCGCGAGCTAGGAGTTGAATGCATGTTGCGTACTTTTAATAAGGGTTTTACTCTTCTTCATAGGAAGAAGATTTGGGGATAGCTCAACGTTTTAACCGAAAGTCGGCAAATGCCGTTTCCCACGCACCGTGCATTTTGAATTCAGAATTTTTTCGATAATTCAGATTTTAGATTTAGATAGGAGATAGAGAGAGAGTAGATAGTGCGAGAATGGCGCAACTGAATAAAATTGAAAATTGGTTATTCTGCGATCACAAACATGAAGCTGAAGCTGAAGCTGAAGCTGCCGCCATAGCCCTATTCTCAATCTCTTCCATTCCATCTGTTTTCTCAGAATTTATCATTGAAGATGGTGAGCGCCACCGTCGCAGGCTATATCGTCGGGATTATCGGTAATTTCAGCTTCGGATTTTATTTATATGAATGCATTTTTATTTTGTTTACTTCACTATGGAGCTGTAGTTTGCTTCCGTGGTTTGTCTTTTCTTTCTGGTTGATGTTTATGAGATCCTTTTTGAGAAAAAAAAAAAGAAAAAGAATTATGACCTCTTTTTTAGTACTATAACACTTTGAATTGAAGATGTCTCTGTCTCTTTTAACATGTTTGTTTCACTAATTTAAATTCAAGAAATAATTTTAAATTATTTATCTTGCAAATCATTTTTCATCCCATAAGTCCGTGACAAATCATTTCCAGATGCTTCTTTTGGAAGAGCACGGGAAACGCCTATAGAATCTATTGTACTAAGACCCGAAAGATCATCCAAGGACAGAAAATAGGGACTCAAAACGAATGAGTGAAGAAGGTTTAACTCAAGCAAACTTAAGAGAAGAAATGATTTTTGCTTACCGAATTTGTAAAAGAAAGAAGAAGCCGGGTCTTCTTTTTAGGACAATAAAAATAATAAAAGATGAGAATGATTTGAAATAAAATAAAATAAAATAATTTATTTGGATATTTGTTGGAAATAAAAAGAAAAGAAAAATTTTAGTGATCATTTGGCCTTTTAATCTAAATTTATTGTTTAGAAATTAAAATATGACAAGTTTAGGTTAGTAATTTATTTTGAAATTCTATGAAATCCTTCCAAATCCGATCATTTTGATTGGAAAATTTTTTTGATATAAAAATTGGATTTCAAATCGGTCAAAATCATGCCTCGAAATCTATCATGATTTTGAAATCCCTCAAAATCTGGTATACCCAACATGGCACTTGGTATGGACCTTTGTTTACTTTCATTCTTTCTTGTTGAATTAAATTTACCCAATTTTTGGATTGAACAGTGGTTTATTCATCCTTAAAGCGATGTTCGAACTTTGTTTCCTCTCCATTTATATTGAATTAAATTTACCCAATTCATCAACTTAAGTTTTTGGATTGAATGATTGAATAATGATTTATTCACCGTTAACATTTCTCAAATAGTGGTTTCTTTTCATAAAAAAAATTATGAGGAGATCTTTGTTAGTATAGCATAGAGGCAAACTTGGATTAAAAAAAATAAATAAATGGGGTGGGCACTCTCTTAGAAATCGAGGTAGGAAGTTGGATTTATTTTTTCGTTTAGATTTGAAATAACTCACTTTAAAGCTTATTTTTTAATATTTGAATTAATTTGATTTGTTTAAATAATTTAATATTTTGTATGATTATACGTGGTTGATATTACTATTTGCTACAAATTTACAAGGGCATAATAATGTGATATGTTATTTTTTAAAAAGATAAAAAATATAAAATTATACTTTTTTCATTTCTCATAAACATCCAAACATAATAAATTTTAATATAAATGATTTTATATTTATTTGTAACCGAATGAAATTAGGAATTTTAAATGATAATTTCCATCTTTATTTCATTTCTGACCAATTCTTTTGGAGGGATGAAGAGAAGATAATTAATATATCATTTTCCTACTGTTTTGATTCAGATTTGTCCCTTAGATTTTCTCTCTCTAAAGTTCGAAGTTTGGCCCAAATTCTTAATATATATATTTTTTAGTCCCTTTTAAAGTAACTATTTAGGTTCTTACTTTTTTTTTTCCTTTTTCAACAAATTAATAATATCACTTTGAATACTGTGTACTAATGTGTTAAGACTCTTTTTTTATTATTATTATTTTAACTATTACTAAAAATAAAACTTTTTTTAAAAATGTTCAAAACTCCCAACTAATTTTAAAAATAACGTTGTTTTCAATTTTCGTCCGTCTCTTGAGACGACGAATTCCATATGTGGACATAGGCCACATTTTTTATTTTTTTCAAAATTAGCATACATGTAGTCTGATAAAGGGATGACATTTACTAAGTCTAATTTGTTTTTTAAACTAATATGTTTGGTTGAGTTTATAGAGTGGATAAACAAAGTCTCGTATTAGTTATGGGAGAAAGTGACTTATAGTATATAGATAGAGACAATTATCTCTATTGATATGAATGATGCCTACAAGGATATTGTTGTCTTTAATATGTTCGTGAGACATTTAAAAATAAAAATAAAATTTTGTAGTCTAGGTTATGTCTTACAGCCACAAATCTGTAGATTCTACCCAAATTTGGAAGTCGTCTCTAAAAAATAAAAAAAAATAAAAATAAAAAAATTAAGAAAAGGCTAAAATCTACAGATTTGTGGCTATAAGACATGACCTTTTGTTGAGGAGGATTCTCTACTAGTTGAACTCGACCAATAGACTCTCTTTGAGAGGAGAAAACACATGGGCAACAAATAAAATTTGCATTATTAGTTTTAAAAATAGTTTGCCAAAAATAATATTTTAAAAAATAGTTTAATTTTAATCAAGAAACTATCAATAGAATTCGACCAATAGACTCTATTCAAACCTCATACCTAGGTTGAAATCAAGAACATAATTCGCAAGCAAAATTTAGGTGGAAAAATAGGATCAAAATAGTTATTTCTTCTAAAATTCTGGACTAAAATAGAAGGCTAAACTTAGCTCATAACTGAACTTATCTTTTAAATCCTCCCATCTCTCATGTAATACTAAAAAAATAATAAAATAAAACAAACATGAAAATTTAAGAATCAAATAGAATTTAAGTTTTTTTTCTTTATATATATATAATCTTAATTGCACTTTTTATTCAAAAGCCCAAAAGTTACATATAAATTTTTCTCACTTTTGATGCAAATTTCAAAATTAAATCTGGCTTCAGATTTTAGCATCTTTTTTCTTTTCTTTACTTTTGAAAATTTATATATTTGATATATAATACAATATATGTTGGTGCATAATTCCTTTATTTAAATGTAAAAAGTGGGTTTTTTTTTTGTTTAATTTTAAACATTGGGATTTTGAATTATGAAGAAATTTGTTTTGTGATTATTTTATACACATTTGCTCTCTAAATGGTCAAATTTAAATTATGTGCAGGTAATATCACCTCTTTATGCCTCTTTTTATTCCCATTGTAAGCTTTCTCCTTCTTCCACCATCTACTAATTTCTTTATCAACTTTTATTTTAAGTTAATTTGTAATAACTTCTGTAACTTTTACGTGAACATAGCTCAACACACCTATTCTTTTGAGGTAGGAGGTTCATATCCTCATATCTCCAATTTGTTATAATTTTCAATGTTGGGTTTAATATATCTCTAAAATGTGTAAGTCGCTAAACTTAAACGATATATATTCTTAATTAGATATAAAAGTGAAAATTAAGGGATCTATTTAACATAATTTAACATTTATTTTCTCTTTCAATATTGTTTCTAATCTTGTTCCTCGAGAATTTTACTGAGTATTTAGGTATGTAATGCAGACCAACATTTTATAAAATCATTAAGGACAAGGTAGTGAAGGAGTTCAACCTAGAGCTCCACCTTGCAATAGTACTAAATTGCATGTTATGGATATTCTATGGAATGCCTTTTGTTCATCCAGACAGCGTTTTGATCGTCACCATTAATATTATTGGCCTTGTCATCGAACTTGCCTATTTGGCCATCTTTGTCTTCTTTTCTGATTTCAGACAAAAGGCGAGTTATTTTTTCCTTTGCTTTTATCTTTATAATTTTCTTGTTTCAAATGTGTCTAGTAGGAAAATCTCTTAAATTTCTTACATTAATTTGTTTTTTATGTTTAATTTGCTCTTATTTCAGAAGAAAGTGGTTGTTTGTCTCGTGGGTGAGGTCGTGTTCATGGCCATTGTAATTCTCTCAGTCATTCTAGGTTTTGATGGAACCGCAAAGAGACAATTAATGGCTGGACTAATTTGTACCCCATACAACATCATGATGTTTTCTTTTACTCTATTCATCGTGGTAAGTAATTTCTAATCTACTTCATGGTCCAATTTACCTTTTTCCTCAAAAAAAAAAAAAAAAGTCCAATTTACCTTTCATCTTAACGTAAGATATATTTTAACATATGAATAAAAATAAAATATTAAATCATATTCTTTATTTTCGTCAGGAAGAAGTAAAAATGACAAAGAGTGTCAAGTATATACCATTTACTCGTTCATTGATCATCTTTCTCGATGGTTGCATTTGGACGGCTTATAGCCTCATCATTGATTACAATTTGTTGGTATGTGTACTCACCCTTTCAATACAAATTTTATTGATCATGAAAAAAAACATATTTCATAGACTTTTTTCTATCCTAGTTTGATAATTTTATATGTCTATTGACAACTACGTCTTGATGATAAGCTTTTAACTTGATTAATGTTTTAATTGAAAATTTTGCAGGAAAGTAGCGCTCTTAAGATTATGTCAGGTCTGATTCAATTGGGTCTATATGCATATTACTCAAAGATGTGTTCAAAAGACGAGGAAGACATTGAGCACCCTCCCTCGTGAAAATATACGAAAGTCTAAAGATTCAAATGTTATTCCGAGTGAAAATGTTATTCTTGGTTCTTTCTAAAAATATTATTCGCTGTTTAGGATTAGATCAATATGAGTCTTACCCTTTTTGCATTGTTAGTCAAATAATAATGTTTTTTGGGACTTTGATTTTTACTAATATAAAATTGTCTAGTTTCATTCAATTTGAGGTGTTGGATTTTCAACTTCTTTACTATTTTTAATTATTTCCAATATAATTTTTTTAGCCTTGAATATTCTTTGGCCTGCTTACATACAAAAATGAAAATTTTAGATAAACAATTTAAGGGAAATTTTAAACTTTAGATTATAAATTTAAATAAATTAAACTTTTCTAATTGAATTGAACCCATCACAATAAAGGTGAGGCTAGTTTTTCCACTTCTGTTCTTAGCAACTGCTGCATTACATGAAGAATGAAAAAATCTAAACTTCACCATGGTGGAAGATGAGGCCATTATTGACAAAGGTAAAAGCGTGGATGGTCAATTTCATTGCAAAATTTTAAGTGGACGATTGTCCGAAAGATTGATAATAAATTTCTGGTGGAGGTAGGGGTGTTCACAGGTTGGGTTGGATTAGGAGTGATTTTTGGACCTTGGGTTGGTCAAAATAGAGAACGGACAAAACCAAATAATATGGCCAACTCAACCCAACCCAAAAATGGTTGGGTTGGGTCCTCGGGTTTCATCTTAGCTATGGATGATGGCGTTCAATGGAGTGCAGTAAAATTAAAGGATAGGTGAGAAAGATGAAAGATAGAGAGGTGAGAGTGATGAGATGGGAGAGGTCGGGTTCATCAGGTTACCGAGTTGCTACTTGGTTTAGCTTGAGTATTTCCAATGTCACAATGGAAATAAGAGGTTTTGTTTTTTTTGTTTTTTTGGTACTACATGTGGGGGTGTGAGGATTCGAACTCATGACTCTTTAGTTAAAGATAGTTGCCTTAACCAATTGAGCAATGCTCGGTTTGGTAATTTATGGTTTGGTTTTATTTTCCCATTTAGTGTATGAAGTATTTATCTCGTCTGGGTTACGTTATTTTTTTATATTATTTTTTACAAGACATGGGTTGTATTTTTTAGATTGAATAAAGAGTACAGAGGACCATTTGTATCAAACTGATCTCAATCCTTTTAAAAAGAAAGCATGCCACCAAATAAAATGAACAACATTGCAATTTGTTTCATAAAATGGTGTTAGAAAGAGTACGTTGGAGGTGAATTCCAGCTCACACGTGGCACATTTTGATTGGACAACAAAAGTTACATACGACCTTGCTCGATGAGGCCCAAGTTTCGTCACCTGACCTCATATGGCCGAGCCGATGCCTGACATAGCCGAGCTGACCAACCTTTCTTAAGATTTTGTTTCCATTTATTGGTTGAAATGATAAGCTTCATTTCGGCTCAGCCCCTGTCTCCAACAGACTCCATGATAACATGTCATGATTCACGGCTACCTTAAAGAGTCGTTGAGGCATTGTCGGGAATATTGTTGGATATAGTGCCTATAAATAGAACCCATTTGCTCGGTCAGCTATTGACTTTGGCATGAGAGTGTCTTCTATTTTGCAGGTCTTCTGTTCAACACATCTCCAACTCAACTTCTAGGTCATCCTCCATCCGAGGCGAGGTTTGCGGAGTTGGTCAATTTCCTGATCAAACATTTGGCACTGTCTATGGGAACAATAGTTATCTTTAAGTCATACCAACACTTAACTGAGCAATGGCGATTCCGTCTACTTGTTCACAATTGTCTTGCACTCTCGTCCCTGTTGGGGGGTGAGATGAAGCACGACGTACCTAGACTCGTAGGACCTAATCTCAAGTTGCTGAAACCTCAAGAGATCCTATTCACACTCGCCAAGGCGGCAAAAAACGTCTCACTGAGGAGAATTCGACAGCTGAAGGTCAGGTTAATGGTGGCTGAACTGATGGCTAAGGCAATGATGGCCGAACTGATGGTCGCTTAGTTGATCCGCTTGTTCTCGAGAACAGAGATCAGTTTCCTCCCTTACCACCACGCCCATCGACTCTTCCTGGATGAGGGCACGTC